AGAAAAATGAGTAAAAGATATAAATTGGTAATTTTACAGAAAGTTAGCCAATAAACATTTTTACAAAATTCAACCTATTATTAAAAGAACTAAAACAATGACTTGATACATTTTAAAAACTATAAAATTGGCATCTTTCTTTAAGGATGGGACTCCACATGGATGAGGGTGCATTTAAGTATGAGCAAGCAGTAATGAAAATTGGCACAGTTTTTCTATAGATTAATTTTGTAATCTGTTTCAAAAGTATCAAAATTTTGTATTCCCTTTAGTTTACAACTGCAAATATTTTGCTTTAAGGAAGTAATTCTGAAATTTGAGAAAGGTCAACTAAAGATTCCTCATTGCAGTATTATTTAAAATAGAAACTGTGAAACTTTAACTTAATGGATAGAATTGATTAAAGAAATCCTGGTTTATGTATACTCTAAAATACAACACAGCCTTTAGCAGTGAAGTAGAAGAATAGCACACAATGATGTGGAAGTATGTTGGAGATTTAAAAAACAAGTTGAGAGCTTTATAGCTGATGTTTTAAGGAAGAAAAGGAGGTTACAAGATGAATCACATGTGCTCCATTGTTTAATTCTACTTGTGTCAACATATTTTTATTATTTCTTATATATATATCATCTCTTTTTATTGTATATTTGCATTTTGCAAATTTTTAATAACAATAATGTGACAATCTCATTATCAAATTTTCATTTATTTTCTTGCTAACAGAACTCTAATTTGTTTGGGATGGCATTAAGTCAGACCAGGGAAAGGAACTGTTTTCCTGGTCTTAGCCCATCATAACAATCTTGCTTTCCATATTCCCAGAATCTCTTGATTATGACCCATTTCAAATGAAAAGATTCAAAGAGGAGTTGGCTGGGAGATGAACCACTGGAGAAATTTTGCCGATGTAACTGGCTCCACCCATTCCATTTTTTCTTTCCAGAACGTGGACATTGTGCTTGGAGCTGTCAGCAGCCTTCTAGTAAACTTAAGGTAGAGACCATGAGCATTACTGCTGGCCTTGAAAGTTGTGAGCATCTGAACTTCATGACCCACCTTCAGACATTTTGGTGTGTAAGAAAACAACCCCCTTTCTAGAGGTGTGTTATGCAACATTCTGCCTACAGTTAACAATAGTATATTATACAGTTAAAAATTTGTTATGAGAGTAGAGCTCTGGTTAATTGTCCCTACCAGAATTTTAAAAAAATAAAGGGAAAGAGGAGAAAACAAGCCCCTCTTTGTATAAGATGGGATTTTCTGTTACTTGCAGCACTGCAGGCTGATTTAAACGAGCCATAAAAAAATTTTGGAGGAAATGAAATTTTAAATGAAAAAAGTGGAATAGAAGGACTTGAAGAATAAGTCTATCTTATTTATATTTTCTAGAATACATGTGTAATACATTTGTGATAAAAATACAGTACAGGCTATTTTTAAATTTTATGACGGTCTGGAACACATCCGATTGCACATGCTGGTCTTAGGAGACCCGGCAGCCCTGGTGCTGTATCGATTTGTTGTGTAATCTTAGGAAAAAGCACCTTATCCTTTTAGGATTTGGCCTCCCAATGTGCGTCAAGTCAATGAATCTGACGGCTCTCAAGGCTCCTTGCTAACAGCTCTATCTAAAGAGCTCTGTGCTCACCCTGAGTCTTTCTCCTCCCTCTGGACAAGAATTGACTGAAAATAAACTCTGCACAGGCAAACCGTTCAAGAATGGAAAATAAACACTTCCACAGACCTAAAACAGTGCAGAGGGAACCATGTCACCAAGGATCATTTTCTTTTTCATTTCAGAATACCATTTTATGCAATTCTCTTCTAATCCAAGTTCCTGTATTAAGGGTGATGTTAACCTAACCCTCCTCCAAATCTCCCAAACAAAGCTTACATCCCATCACATTCTTTTAGAATTCTCTTATTGAGAAGCCCCAAGGTTTCCCAACGTGTGTCCTCCCTCATGGCAACAAGTAATACAGTTAATTTTTTCAACTACAGGTGTATTCTTGGTGGTCTCTAGCTGGAGGGCATTGGCAATACTGAGTATTAAAATTTTTATTTTTATTATTAGAAATTATTTTAAAATATTGTTGTCTTTATTAATCTAGTATGTCAGGTGCATCCCTGAGGAAGCAGCTGAATGCCCATCATCAAGCATACTTGGGATAGGTTGGAAAAGTCTTTTGTTTCAGACTCTCCCATATGACATGGGTGGCATGTAACAGCATAACACTAATTCTCTCTCTTCCTCTCTCTCTCTCTCCCCAACACACACACACACACACACACACACACACACCTCTCTAAGGAGATGCTGATGGATCTTTAGAAGATCCCTCTGCAGAAGCAAAGTTTCTCTCCTGTTCATAACTGAATATCCAGACCACAAAAGGAGGCAGATCATATAGCTCAGACTCAATGTTAATTTTTGCCAAAAAATTTTCAAGCATCCTGCAAGGCTTTAAGTTTGATTTGAATACTCTCAGATCAAGCAAACAAACATAGCTAATACATACAGAGGCTTACTCTCTACCAGACACTACACTGTGCATTTTACATGCCTTAATTCAGCTGTCTCCAACCTAGTTATGTAAGGTGGATGCTGTGATTAATTCCATTTTGTGGAAGGGTAAACTGAGGCACAGAGAGGATTTTTGTTTTTAGTGTCTCACCAGAGATCTCATGGCTGGCAAAGGGTAGAGTTGGGATTTAAATACAGGCAATTTGCCTTCAGGGTCTGTGCTCTTAATCAATACATTGTACTACCTTGTAGTACAAAACAAAGATATAGAGGATACTAATGTGCAATTAACTTTTCAGGAAGACTGGTGTTATTTGAGTATAAAAATGCAGAATATGTACTTTTTTCTTCATTGAGTATGAGAGAAAATGTTTATTGGGTATTTTAAGTGGTCATATAAGTAGGCCATATAAATATAAATTATTTAGATCATATAATTTGACCACAACAAAAGAACATTAGATATAAACAGTAAAAATAATGAGGGAGAACACAAAAATGTCAGGAATGAGAGGGGAATGTAAGATCAGATTAAAAGTAGATTAAAATTATAAAAGAAGACAATTTGTAACTTTATGAAAGTAGATTTAAACACATAAAAGAAGTGCACTCTTTTTCTAAGCAAATGTAAATTACCCTAAATGAATTCAAGAAAATGACAGACATTACTGCTTTTTAAAAGGGGGAAAATGACCTAATCTTCTAAAATCAATCAAACCCAGATGGTTTTTGAGTATGCTCTAGTAAAACTTCAATAAACAGATAATTATGTTAATGGTTTAAATTTTCCAAAGGGAAAACCTAGAATTTAAAAAAAAGTCATTCCATAAGTCTTGCATAGCTTTGTCCCAAAGCTAAGTACAAACTCATCATTCCTATAAAAACAATTTATTAATACAAATGGGAAAAAAACCTCATTGCTATGAATAAAGGATTCTGATACATTTGTATAAAAGAACATATATGAACTAAATAGAGTTTATTTGGGCACCATAGCATGATATAATTAAGATAACATCTCACTCAGTGTGTAGAAGAGTGGATTTTTCAGAATTGGTATGGGGACAGTAGAATTCTCAACTGTGTCAGATCCCTACCTTACCCTATGTACAAATACAATTTTCAGATGACTGGTAATCTAAACAATGAGTATCTCAAAGCTATAATTCACTAGAACAGTTAGGGAAGTATACTTGTGATTCTGGTATAGGAAGCCTCCCTAAGCAAGATGGAAAGTTCAGAAGCCCCGAAAGAAAAGACTTGCAAAGTCGACTCCACAAATCAGCTCTACAAGGGAAAACTCCAGAAACAGCATCCTTACAAATAATGGTCACTATGTGGAAACATTTCCAGAGTGATACAATGGAAACATAAATGAAAAGACACACTAAATCCCAATATTTATAATTTTAAAAATCAATAAAATTGACAGCCCTTCAGTGAATTTGGTAAACAACAACAACAACAAAAGTGTGTGTGTGTGTGTGTGTGTGTGTGTGTGGAGGGTGGTAGGAAACACAAACAATATTAGGAATACAAAGAAGACACAGAACAATTTCAGAGAAAATAAAAAATTACAAGGTGACAGTATTCATAATTTTGTGCCAGTACATTTGAAAATGTAAATGAGGTGGACAATTTTCTGGGCACATATAAATGACTAAAACTGACTCAAGAAGAAGTAGAGTTTTTTTTTTTTTTTTTGGGGGGGGGGTGTTAGGACAAATAGAACCAATATACATATCAAGATAGAAATTCAGGTTACATCAGGAAATAGATTAATGGGAAAGGCTCTTCCGGGCTGGGCATTCACTTCCTAAATATAGTGCTGTGTGCTTTGAATAATATATGACAATCATGAGTTAATTTTGTAAAAACTTAGCTTAAATTCTGGTGAAGGACTCTACAGGAAGTCCCGGGAGTGGGTTGGAGGTGGGCTAGAGAACCGAGTAGGCAAAGAAATCCGAAGGTCCGACTGCAGAAACCTGCACTAATAGATGGCTCCCAAGTTTTAAAGGACCACTCTTGGCTTTCCGCTTCTCTGCCTCTCCTTCCCACACTGTGGACATCCATCCTTAGTTCCCAGAGCATTTATGAAAGGATCTAAGAAAGGCAGAGTTGCAGAAACCACCAAAGAGACAAGAGTTCGAGTCCCTGCCCCTACTGAGACTCGCAGGTCAAGTCAGACTGTGGAAGGGTCTGCTCGCTTCTCCGGACCCCGAGGTCTGCGGCGCGGGGTCTGTGCGCACTGCCATGTCCCCGCCCCGGGCTCCGCAAGACTTGTGCTAAGTTGCAGAGCGAGTCCGCTGGGAAGCGGCGGCGGCGGGCGCCTTTCCCCCCAGCTGCAGGTAGGCACTTCCCACCCCCGCGGCCCCCTCCTTCCTCACAGCACACACACCCACACAACCCTCTCCAGTCGCGGCTGGAGAGCTGCTCTCAGGCGCCAGCGGGCAGCCGCGCCTCATCAGCCAGTAGAGCCAGCGGAACACCGAGCTGGAGGGCTGGTGCTGCGCAGGAGACCTGCAAACCAGCAGCTTGAAACTGGGGGACGAGCCTCACGTTTCCTTCAAGCTTCTTTCTCTTAACAAAAAAGAAAGAAAGAAAAAGAAAATCCTCTGTTGCCACCTCAACTTGGAGGAGCAGGGCGTGATTCGAAGGACTGACGCAGGTTTCATTCATGGACCTTGAAGTTAGGGCAAGTCACTCAACAGGACCCGCGAGGCCAGGGGTAGCCCCAGTTCCTGAGCGGGTTCAGCCTGGCGGTGCCCTCTGGCAGCCCACCTGCAGCCGCCAGCTGAGGTTCTGGGCGCCTTCTGACTGTGCTTTGGAAGTAATGACATTACCCGTGGTCTGGACCCAGGTGGCCTCCCTTGATGAGCGTCCCTACCAGGTAAGTGCTTCCAGAGGGGTCTCCCCTGGCTGCCTAGGCGGAACCTCAAGCTCCCGAGAAGTAAGTCCATGCTGTTTAGCCTCAGGCAGGAGGCGGGGACTGGTAGGAGAGAGCATGCTTTTATCACAGGAAATTGTGGGAGACTGGAATGGAAGGCGGATTTAAAATATTTTATTTTTGCATTGACGCGTGGGGATGAGATGCGTAGGGGCCTGAATTTTTGTAGGAAATGGTTGCAAAGCGGGGCTGGGTGATAGGCGTCTGGATATTTTTGCAGGAACTGAAGAGGGAGCAAAGTCTTAAATTTTTGCAGAAACCTGTGAGAAGTGGGCGGTGAGATGTTATGATCCTGAAAATGCTCACGAAATTGTAAAGAATATGTATCTGGGCATTTCTGAGAAATGGTGGGAGAAGCACTTACCGCCCTGGCTTCACCTGACCCCCATACTCGGCCTTCTCGACGATGACCACAGACAGTGGCAACAATGGACGCTGACACACCCGGCTACCGCGGCCTCAGCCCCTGACTTCAGCACCTCGGACAGCCCCCCCCCGCCCCCCCCCTCCCCGGCAGCTTAAAGCACGCAGCTAGAGCTGTACAGCCCCGGCTTTTCAGTCCCAGGCCACCGGTGCTGTCTGCAGTGGGCGGATACGTAACACCGCCCCCAGCTTTGCGAAGAAGGGCTCTCGAATAGCAAAAGCAAACGTGGAGCTCAATTTTTGATCTGCTTGTAACTGCTTCCCGTGACTGCAGAAGGAAGAGGCGGAGTATAAAGATAGCCCCCAAGCTTCGAATGCAGCTGAACCGGTGGCCTCCTGGGTTTGGGAAGGTGAATCCCAACTTCCTGAAACAGCTAACATTTATAAAAGGCTGTCCATGTGCCAAGGCCCTGTGCTAAACGCTCAATGGGTTAATTTTTATAGAACACCATGAGTATACTCTTTATGTACTATTATTATTTCCATTAAACAGATGAAAAAACTGAAGCAAGAGAGACTGAGAAACTTGCCCAAGAATATACAACCTGAAAATATTACGGCTGCCTTCTTAAACTCCGTGCCAGCCTGCAGTAGTGGGAGGATATGCCTGAGCAGAATTGCCTGCATGAAATAGCTCTGAACTTAGGAACCAAGTTTGAATGAAAGACATAGTTAGCACTTAAAAACGTGTCTTTGAATAAAATTTCTAAACATGTCTGAACTTCAAGCTCAGTATCTGTAAAATTATAATAATACTTTCCTTGCAGAAGCATGGGGAGCAGTGGTCAAAAGGATCATATATGGAGATACATCCAGCGAACTGTTAATTGTGGTTGATTGGGTGGGGGATTGGAAGGGAGGAGGCAGGTAATTGGAAGAGAAAGAGGACTGTTAATGAACACTAGTGGCACACTACAAGGGTCTGGCCTCAGAGCAGGGCTCAGTGGAAGGAATTCAGGATGAGCTTATTTCAGCGTACCAATCCCTTGGACTTTTACAGGACTTCATACAGGGTGTTCATGTATTGCCGATCATTTGATCATTTTAACAGGCCTGTAAAGTAGGCAGGATTTGGGTTATTTTACTCATAAGGCAAAATGATTCCTGCCCCAAATATTCAGAAACCTAGTAAGCAGAGCTGGGATTAGAATCCAGTTCTCCTGCATCTGTATCCTGAATCCTTCCACCGCAGGCTAGCCCTTCCTCAGTAGTTAGGACTGTGGGGGTAATCACAGAACTATATAAAATATAGTTTATATTTTTAAAAAGTACTTATAAAAAGGTACATTTTTATAAGCACTTTAAATATATGAAATTGATGACTTTAATAATTTTCATGTACAGCAATAGCAATCTCATGAATCAAAGTAATCTTTGTTGATTATATTCTGTTCCATGAAGAATTTTAAACAATTTATAAAGCTTCACAAGATGTCAGAAAGTAAAGGACAGACAAGATACAGGCGATAGCCAGAAATAAATGAATATCAAATGTGCATATTATAAAGTCCTAGAAACTTGCTCTGGGTCATTAAGTACAATGAAAATATATCCCTACACCTTTTTGAGGGAACATGAGAAACTTTAAAGATGATTATAAAAGTCTGCAGGCCCTTCTCTTCTGCACAACACGTCCCTCAAACCTCTGAGAAATCTGCCACTGGACCAAAGAAGGGAAGTTTAACTGGAAACCTAATGTCAGTATGATTTAAGAGAGGGGTGACAAAGTGAATGGCATTATTTCTTTACTGAGGCAATTGTTAGTTACATAATTAAAAATGGCTAACTTGAGCATACTGTACATTAAAGTTTACAAAAAGGGCTTCTATACTCATAAGGTTATTTCAGTTTTCAAGCAAACTGAAGAGGTGAGCAGCTAGGAAGTGACAGAAAGTACAAAAACCACAGCAACATGACGATGTTCTTATATTTTGCTTTTATATGTAAAACTGCATCCATACATAGGCCAAAAAGTACTGGAATGTGTGAATCAGGTCAGTTGTAAGACTACAGAGAATGGCAAGGCCTTTTCAAACTGAACAATAAATAATTCATCTTAACACATTCAAATTTAAAAAAAAAATTTAAAATAGTGTGCCAGTTAAACAATATCTGATTGTGGGCCACATTAACTTTCAGGTCTAATTTGCATCCTTGGCTTAAGATCCAGGCCAAAGAACTAGACTGGCATGGGAATGAAAGACCTTGGATTCAGAGAGATTAAAAGGTTTAATCTTTGTCTGTAATTTCTATTTCTAAATTCATGAAGCTTGAACAAAATTGCTCCTCTCAGTTTAAAAAAAGTTTAGGACTTCCATAGCTTTTCAGACAATAAAATAATCAGAGGACTTGAGGATAAAGTTGGCATCCAAATACTCCCTCTATTAGAAAAAGCATCATTTGAATCTCTGGATGTTGGTAATATTCAGTCTTCAGCATTTCTTCTCTAGACCCTGTGCTATTGAACGCTATGTTAGCTGCCATTACAGTGGAGGTGAGATAAAACAGAAAACAGCCCTGAGAGCATATCAAGGAAGGAATCAGGCAAACTCTGTCCATTTCTCAGTTTACTTTTCTGAAACACATGAAAAAGTGGTCACCAAGTTTTTAAGAAAAAAAAAACCATGGTGGCTAGAACAACCCAAGTTGGGATTTCAGTATCCTGGTGTTATGCCAACTCTTTTCAATGATTTTATTTTCCTTCTGGAAGGCATCTAATCTTTCCAGCATTAGGTCTTCTTACCATTTAATCTCTGTGATTCATGATAGAAGATAAATGCTCAAGTTAAAGGACATTAGATTTTGGTTGACCCTCACATCTAGTGAATGACTATTCAGTTCTACCTTGCAAACATCTGTCCAGCTTGGTTCTTCTTCCGCATCCTTACTGTGGCAGTTCTGATCTTCTTCATCTCCCAGAGGCTCTTGAGTGGGTTCCCATCCTCTCAGTCCATTTCTCACACCATAGACAATTATCATATCACCCTCTTCCTTATAACTCTTGACTGGTTCCCCACTTCCACATAATGAACATCAAACCTTCGGGACAAGGCTACAAAGAACCTTGAATTTGATCTCTGTAGACTTCCCCATATTTTCTTGTTCTACCAATGCACTCCCCACTCTTCCAACACCACCCTGAACTATGAAGTTCACAAAATATTTGCTCTGCTACCTTCTGTCTTATAACTTATAGTTACCCCTAAGGGTAATTCCTTACCCTTTTTGATTCAACAAATTTCTGCTCCTTTTTGAAGACCTAGCTCAATTGTCTTCTCCTTATGAATCCTTTTCTAATCTGCACCTCTAGGTCCTCGTGGCACTCATATCTGTCTGCTGCATGTTTGTCCTCCATTCTGGACTTACTATGTTGTACTGTACTTATTTCATGTAAGGGTTAAGAACATGGACTTTGGACTGAGTCTGGATTTGAATTCCAGCTCCTCAACATACTGCCTGGTTATTTTCGGGTAAGTGACTTTATCTCCCTGAGACTCAGTTTTATTTTTTCACAAAGTCAGGATAATAGTATTCATCTCACAGTATCACTGTAAGAATTAAATGACATAATGCATGTAGAGTATTCAGCACATTGCTTGGAGCATGGTAAGCATATCATAAATATTTATTATTATTAAAATATACATCTGGCTTACCTCTAGATTGTAAATACCTTGGCAGCTGTTCCTGCATTTTATATAACTCTTTATCCTGGCATGGCATAGATAGTTGATTTATGTTTGATGATGCAATAATAAATGGATGGATGAGCAAGTAATGCTAATGTTTTAGTCAGGACTTACTTGATTATAAGTCACAGAAATTAATTTGAGCTATCAAAAGCAAAAATATGCTAATTTATTGAAAGAATTCCAGAATGTTCATGGACTCTGAAGGCAGTTAAAACTCAGGAGGGGTGGCGGGGAGAAACTCTCTCTCTCCAACTCAGCTTCTCAGGCCACTTGCTTTTATTCTTCTCCCTCTGCACATGTGGCTAACTCACAATGCAGCCTAACATCTGGAGTGCCCAGTACATCAGTTCCTACAAACAGCCCAGATGACTGGTGTTTTTAGCCTCAATTTCAAGTTCCACCAAAGATTGAGCCGCTGTGCACATGGAGCAGGTCAAATAGCTGAAAGCAAGAATATTAGGTATTCTCTAGAGAGGGAGGAAGTAGATGTGGCTATGCAAGTCTGAGAGGAGCACTTTGTAGGGGGATAGATACACAATTTAAGGGGTCACCGTGAGCTGACAGGAAACCTCCACACAGTCAACCCTGATCACTGAATGACCACAGGCATTTGGTTTCTCTCTAGGCTTCTTCACACTTGGCTTTGGTTTTCCCATCTGTGAGATGGAGAGAAAACTTCTTGAAAGGGGATTTTATGGTTAGTGGAGCACTTGGCATTAGTCTAAGGCAAAAGCATACAATTTAACTCTTTGCTGGGTTATAAAACACTGGGAAGTAAGAATGAAGGGAAATGAAAATGAGGCAAGGAAGAGCTAGCCTCAGCTTCAT